TTTGGAATGGAACGGAGAGATAGGACTGGTGCCCAACCACTTGTAGACGGCCGGGGGGATTGAACGCCGACCTGCATGAAGCGAGACCGTCGCTCTACCGTCCACCCTAAATAGTCGGGTGTGGCGAGAGAGTAACACACATTTACCTCAACTCTTCAACTCTTATTGCAATTTGTGCCAGAGGTACATGTGTGCTCCTCTCTCACAGCTCTGGCCTTAACGAGACCGAGAGGGCTTACGACTCTGCATTTCAAAACTCTTTATTCCAGTTCATGTTTTTCATCTTTATTAAAGGTCCCCTCTGAGTTTTCACCTTTGTTCATTTTTTTTCGTTCCCCTATTTATCGTAGTGCGTGGAGATTCATATGAGTCACTCTCGGTCTTATATATATATATATATATATATATATATATATATATATATATATATATATATATATATATATATATATATATATATATATATATATATATATATATATATATAATAAACACAGCATCTTTCAGGGTGCAGATATCTGGTTATGAGTATCTCCCAGAGTGTGTATACACCTGGCTCTCAGTTCGGCAGTGTTTCCCATTCCTGGCATAAATGATAAAAGATTCCAGTAATTATTTCGTTGCAAAAAAACGCATCCACAACGCTTTTTACGTTATTACGACGGTGTCACTACGTTTAGAAATATTTCAAAACGTCGCCACAGCATTTTTAATTATATTAAACGTCACCACAGCGCTTTTAATAGTATTGAAACGTCACCACAGCGTTTTTAATAGTATTAAAACGTCACCACAGCGTTTTAAAGTGTATTAAACGTCGCCGCAGCGTTTTAAAGTGTATTAAACGTCGCCGCAACGTTTTAACGGTATTTAAGACGTCGCCTGCAGCATTTTTACTTGTATCATAACGTAAGCTCATAATTTTTTACGTCTACGCGTCAAGGCTCAACGTATCAACGTTGTAGTTACGTTGTGTGCATGTTGGGAGTGTGTATATGCGTTACTTAACGAGGGTATCAGCGTGCAACAATTCTTATATATACTTTTTGAGTGTGCGCGTGGCGCAGTATAATATATTATTTTTACTCGCTGTTGGAGAGAATCAGCAGATTACGGGACTTAGGATACATATTGGAATGATTAATGCAGTGTAATACAATCGCCTGCACGCAATTTTGTGGTAGGAATAAATAGAATATAATTCAATCGCCTGCAGCCAATTTTGTGGTGGGGGAATGAATACAATGTAATAGAATCGCCTGCACGCAATTTTGTGGTGAAGAATGAATACAATGTAATACAATCCCCTGCACGCAATTTTGTTGTGGGAATGAATAGAATATAATACAATTGCCTGCAGGCAATTTTGTGGTGGGGAATGAATACAATGAAATACAATCCCCTGCACGCAATTTTGTGGTGAAGAATGAATATAATGTCATACAATCCCCTGCCCGCAACGTTGTGGTGAAGAAAGGCATTTACGTGATAAACTATTACAGTTTCTTATTAACGAGAGCAAAACAAAATACAATTGATTCAATTGATGCTTTTCTCTGAACGAGTCTAACGTGGTCCTGAGGTGGTAGTGGTAGGAACGGTACAAGGAGACTGTTTGGAAGGCTAACCTTGACCCGCACGGGGGCTAATTGACCCCTTGGTGGGTAGTTGACAGAGATGATGGTTAGATGTGAGGCAGGTACTTACCTGACTGTGGTAAGTTATGAGGTTGGTACTTGCTTGTCCGTGGAAGTACTGAGGTGGGACCTTATCTGACGTTAGCAGTGAGGTAGGGGGCCTTGAGGGATTTTAACAGTAAGGGACTTGCCTCTCGTTAGCTGTGCGGTATTAGGGCCTCGTTTGACGTTAGTTGTTAGCGAGAATTTGCACCTGGCAATGCAGGGTGTTGACCGTGACCGGAGAAAACGACGCCCAATCAAAACAACCAATTATTTTTCAAGTTTCTTAAATTGAATGGTACTGAATGTGTTCAATAGAGAAAGCAGTTGATTGTTCCATGTTTTAATGCAGGAAAAAGAGGAAGTCATTTGTAAAGGTATTTTTTAATAATGTATCTCGTATTATTGTCTCCTTTGGTGATCAATAATTAGGTTACGTTAGTGTCCCTTATGATCAACAATAAGGTTAAGGCAGTGTCTCATGGGGTGGTCAATATTTAGGTAAAGTTATCTTTCCTCGTGGCGGTCAATAATTCTGCTTTTTACCTGCCCTTTACTAGAGTGAAATAGTTTCCAGAAAGAATTTATGATTTCCTTTTGTTAATTATTTTTGTAGGTAACTTCAAGGATCTGATCCCACAAAGTGATATCTAGACCAGCAGGGAAGTGCTGGTCTAGATATCACTTTGATAGATATCAAAGTACGGGAGAGGGTTTCACAGGCCAGAAAGATACGTTCCATAACTTATCGCATTGGTTGAGACTTGACAACCTGAGAATTTATTACTTGCCTGAAAATGAATGATCCCAAATGATAGCTCTCAACTGGATTAAAATTAATGTAGAATATGTTATAAAAGGTAAAGCAAGAGCTATTGGCCGTCAACTTAAAAGCAAAAGATATTTATAATGTCATAGATTGAATGTTCAGTGTTCATTTCAGACTTAATTCCTCTTTTGATGTTCTTCAGTTGATAACTTGAAAGACAACGAGATACTGTAATGTGATTGTTTGAGTGATTTGCTCAAACCAACGTATGTCTTTGTTTTCCGCTGTCCTAATCACTAAGGTGGTATATAGCATCTCAAACAAGTCTACTATTGACCCGCCCTGCTGCTGGTGACCTGGAAGAGCCCCGGTACCGTTGTTGTCATTGTGTAGTCAAACGGTGGCGAGGGCCAGCGACCACCGCTTGTAACGTGACTCTTATTGTTTTGGGTGTGTAGTCTCCCGCTTCCTCAAGGTAAACTGGGTATCTGTCTTTCAGCTATTTCTCTCTCTCTTTCTCTCTTTCTCTCTTTCTCTCTTCTCTCTCTCTCTCTCTCTCTCTCTCTCTCTCTCTCTCTCTCTCTCTCTCTCTCAGTGTTCCAGCTGCGAATTTGCTAAATTTTGCTGTACATAAAAATGAAACTGTTGCTCAGGAGCAAAACTAGCTCTCAAAAGCTAAACTAGCGCTCAAGAACAATACTAGCGCTTAGCAGTAAAACTAGCTCTCAACAGTAAAACTAGCTCACAACAATAAAAGGTATCATTGGCAAATATTTATACTGAAGACCATAACTTATTTTAAATATCTCTTATATAAATCCAAAATTTAACAGGTTGCGAGAGGTAACCCATTGTTTATGGTAATCCCATTATTTGAATGTTGTTAGCCATGAGTAACGTAAGAGAACGGTGTCCACTTCAGAGGCTCAAAACTATCCAGTCTCCTTTGATTACGTTTAAGAAATACTCCTAGAAAAACTGTGGATGTTATCAATAACTGAAGAAGTTTCTGTTGGAGTCTCCAGATCAGCCTGGCTGTGATGGTAAGGTGGCACGACGACAAACAGCCCCACAGACCAATCACCAAGTAAGGCTGGCCACAGGCCAGACTGAGGAAGCAGAACTCTCTCGTAATCATCACCAGGTAAATCAATAGGAAATTAATGCGAAAACAAATCAAGGGATTCGTTTAACTTGAAAGAATTCGTTGAAAACTCTCTCGATAGAGTTTTTAATTAGTTTGTTACTCTCTAAATATTGGACTGCTTGATCTCGTAACAATTTTTTTTTTTGCGTGAGTTTGCCAGCTATTGCAGTTCAGCTAATTGATTGAGAGTGAGATAGTGGTTTGTAAATAGGGATGAGTGTAACAGGTTACTGACTAGCATTATTGAAACAGTTTATAACAGCCTTCTGATATAGGTTACAGAGATATATGAAAGAGATGAGGTGGACACACACAGAACCCATCAAGCGAACGTCACTAAACCCACTGCAGTCTTCCATAATTCTTGTGTTCTTATAATGAAAAAAAAATAACTTTTTTTCTAACTGTTATGTGGTTTTAAATTCCTAAAACTCACAGACTGATCGAGTATTTACTTGGAAATAGGACATAACGCAATATTACAATCGGTTATCAACCAGTGGTCAAGTGGTTACCTTTTATATTCCTCTATTAAGGGAAATTACTCTTTAATTACTCTCTATTATTACTATTACTCTCATCGTCTTCTCTAAATTTGGATTGACAGGGCACTAGCGGCTTAGCCCCGTCGCTACCCTCACTACCAACAAACACAACAAGAAGTTACATTTAGCATGAACAATTATATGCAGACTAATAATCTTAACAGTAAATTGAACACTAAAACACAATGTAATTATAGATATGATACCGTTAGATACATTTGACACTGATCAAGAATCAATGTAATTATAGATATAATACCGTTAGATGCATTTGACACTGATTAAGAATCAATGTAATTATAGATATGATACCGTTAGATACATTTGACACTGATTAAGAATCATTGTAATTATAGATATGATACCGTTAGATGCATTTGACACTGATTAAGAATCAATGTAATTATAGATATGATACCGTTAGATGCATTTGACACTGATTAAGAATCAATGTAATTATAGATATGATACCGTTAGATGCATTTGACACTGATTAAGAATCAATGTAATTATAGATATGATACCGTTAGATGCATTTGACACTGATTAAGAATCAATGTAATTATAGATATGATACCGTTAGATACATTTGACACTGATCAAGAATCAATGTAATTATATATATTATACCATTAGATTCATTTGACACTGATCAAGAATCTAACTTATATCTATAAGTTAGATTCTTATATATAAGAATCTAACTTATATCTAACCTTTTTTCCCCCATAGATTATTGTCCAGCTGCAGGTATGGGAGCGACTCCTGTTCACATCTGATGAGTAATAGAAGCTACGAAGCCATGTATGTTTACATGTTTGATGATTGGATCTGATGGGCGATTGGTCTTGTCTCTTCAGGATGCGTGTGGGCGTGGCCCCGGGTCCCTCGTCACGTTGTCCCCCCGCCCACCGTCCCGGGACCCACTCTGCCGCCGGTGTTCGATCCCCAGGTGCCCACCAACGTGACGGTCACCGCCTCCAAGACGGCCCTTCTGTCCTGCGTCGTCCATAATCTCGGAAACAACTCGGTAAATTCAATGGGTTTTTTACCTCCCTGTACCATTTGGATTGGTCGGTAGGGCATGTAACGGCTTCGCTTTCTTGATGGTCGCTGTTCGATTCCCCGATGCTCGAAGTGGTTATATAGGCAATGTTCTCTAGCTCTAATCCTCTAATCCCAGCTCCTTATTTGTTCTCAAATCTCTACCCTCTTGTATCACAGTCACTCTGAACACACCTAATGAACGGAATAATGACAACATACCTGTAAGTACTTAATTGTCTCTAAACGGCCCGTTTTCTTATCATTTTCTTTGATGATGCTTTTCGTCATTTTCTGGGTATGTAGCACAACTGCTCCATCTCAACACCCAATACAGGTTTACAATCTACATCAAGAAAATATTATACCACATATAATATTATCTTTAAAGAAGCCCCACGGAAGGACAAAGTATTTCGAAAAGGGACCCCTCCGTGAGATTGACAATCGGGGGGTAGGAGGGTTGTCAGTACGGTCATAAATAGAGCTATTAGGTCAGGTCAGGTCAGGTCAGGTCAGGTCAGGTCAGGTCAGGTCAGGTCAATGATAGGATAGCTTCCTTACGACTTGATCTTCATCGACAATACTGTCACAAGGTATTTCACAATATCAACTGCAAGCCGTACAAGGAAGGCTAGTGGGATATGTAGAGCATATAATGTTAGTGAAGCATGTAAAATAATAATAGAGCGTGAGGAATGCTAGTGGAGCATGAGGAACGCTAGTGGAGCATGAGGAACGCTAGTGGAGCATGAGGAACGCTAGTGGAGCATGAGGAACACTAGTGGAGCATGAGGAACACTAGTGGAGCATGAGGAACGCTAGTGGAGCATGAAGAACGCTAGTGGAGCATGAGAAAAACTAGTGGAGCATGAGGAACGCTAGTGGAGCATGAGGAACACTAGTGGAGCGTGAGGAAAGCTAGTGGAGCATGAGGAACGCTAGTGGAGCATGAGGAAAGCGTCCAAAACTTCGCAGCTGTCGGAATCAACGCTGGTGAGAGCTGGTGCCAGCGCGAGTGAATGAACTCATATATACAGCATGGAGTTGTGGGCCGAAGCATGTGATGGTTGTTTGACATCTTCCCCAACGATTCGACACCAGCTGTGACAGTGGGATGGGAAGGGAGGGGGGGTGTTAAGGGAGGGAGAGGGGCTAGTGCCCAACTGGCCTTCAGGCTAGGCTCGTTCAGGGCTAAAACTGACCCCCCCCACCCTCTCAAAAAATGCAAATATTTCACTATTTAATATTTGTACAGGTGCAATTCGGTTGCATATATGTCTGGGGACCATTCAGGTTTGTTCGCATGTGTATTCAATATTAGGTTAGGTGTTGAGGCCTAGGTTAGGTTAGGTTAGGTTTGGTTAGGTTAGGTAAGTTTAGATTAGGTTAGGTGCTTAGTTTGTTGGAAATTATTTGCATTTGTTGAACGAGGGCGAAGCATTGACAGAGGTGCAATTCGGACATGAACGAAGCACTTTTCGAGGAACGTTCGAACGTTATGAGTTGAGTAGCGGGAAACGTGTTGAAATTGTTTTTAATTCACTAATACGGGGAGAGGGTGAGGTGGTGTTTGGCGGCTGGATTAACGAACTTGAGGTTATTGTTTGGGAAGACATGATGAAGAAGTAACCTATTCTGATAAACTTGATAAGTCCCAATTTTGACGTGACTTTTGCCTAACCGAAAGCGTTCGAACCTTTTTGTGGACCACCAAAGTAATCTAGGCTCATGTTTCATAGTTAAAGCGTCAACATTGCAGTGTTATAACTTCACGAAAGTACATGAATTTCATTACTGTGGTCTGTAGTGTATAAACTTTCATGTATTAAGGTATGGAAAAGATTACATGACGCATGGAAGGGGACGAAGAGCGTAGGACAGCCAGGAGAGGGATGGAAAGGTATATTTTTTCTCTCTCCTTTACGCACGTGGGTGAAGCTTTCCCTTCGCATAACTAATTTTCATAGGACCCTGTATTTTGTCCGTTGGTGACCATATTGTACAAAATAAGGTGTTTTACACCAGAGAACATGGTCAATACACTCAAGACACTCTAATGATGCACTCGCTGACAATGAAGACATGAATTCATCGCTTGAATTTACGGGTCGCCCCAAAAAGATATATATCGTGTGAAAACAAGCCGTCGTCTCAAATAAAAACCATCGTAATTTGACGCCAAAAATCCATCCCCAACCGACAAAATACGCCGAACTATGAATCATACCGGCTCACAAACTGCCCCGGCCGTTTGCTATGTGTGTGGAAGGTTAGGTTAGGTTCTCCGGCGTTTGAGTACATCGCTCTTTATCCGTTGTGGCAAACCAATGCTGTCGTTGTGTTAGATTTAGCTACTCAGAACAAAATGTCCATGTAGCACGGGCTATGGTGAGCCCGTAAGGCAACTCAAGTTAACGGGCTTGGGTTATAGTGCGAGATCTGGTGCGGGTGAGTGAACCGAGCCTCGGGTTCCCGTTGTGTGAGTGAGAAACGGAGGAATATTAACGGGCTTGGGTTATAGTGCGAGGTCTAGGTGAACCGAGCCTCGGGTTCCCGTTGTGTGAGTGAGAAACGGAGGAATATTAACGGGCTTGGGTTATAGTGCGAGGTCTAGGTGAACCGAGCCTCGGGTTCCCGTTGTTCGTGTGAGAAACGGAGGAATATTAACGGGCTTGGGTTATAGTGCGAGGTCTAGGTGAACCGAGCCTCGGGTTCCCGTTGTGTGAGTGAGAAACGGAGGAATATTAACGGGCTTGGGTTATAGTGCGAGGTCTAGGTGAACCGAGCCTCGGGTTCCCGTTGTGTGAGTGAGAAACGGAGGAATATAACTGAGAATTATTTCCTCCTGAGCAGGAGCGGTTGCCACATTAAGTCCTCCTGACTCGTTTTTCTCCGGACGCGGTGTTTGCTGAGGTTGATGAATGGTAAATAAGGCTCTTCACCCTGGAAAATTGGGCAGCAATTTACTTCCTTCCCGAGAGGATTTTTTTCTCTGCCGGGGAGGAATATATTGTGATGGATGGCCGGTGTTGGAAGCGGCGTGGAGAAGCTACAGTCTATCAGGACAGGCGTTATACAGTCAGTCCGGAATGTTATAGACAGTCTAGAGAAGGTGCAGTCAGTCTGTGGGGAAGGCGGGTGGAGGGTTATAGAGTCGGTCACAACTACGGGTGGACAGAGTTATATGTATGTGTCCCTGGGCTCTATAATCACCCCGGGCGACTCGATAATCGACCCGGGGACGCCATAATCGGCAATGGGGATTCAATAATTCAGCCCAAGGGTCACAGTTATCACCCTGGGTGACAATCATTGACACGGGAGACTCAAACATCGACTTGACGTACGCTGTATTCAGCTCGGCTTGCTGTAGTCGACCTGGAGGACGGTATAGTCGACACGGGGCGCTGTAGTCGACGCCAAGGGTGCTATAGTCAGTCCTTGGGAGGTGCAGACAAACCGGAGGACGCTATAGTCAGTCCGGCGGCGCTTTAATCGACCCAGAGGACGCTATAGTCAGTCCGGCGGCGCTTTAATCGACCCAGAGGACGCTATAGTCAGTCCGGCGGCGCTTTAATCGACCCAGAGAACGCTGTATTCAGTCCGGGTGCGCTGAAGTCGACCCAGAGGAAGCTATAGTCAGTCCGGGTGCGCTGAAGTCGACCCAGAGGACGCTATTGTCAGTCCGGGTGCGCTGAAGTCGACCCAGAGGACGCTATAGTCAGTCCAATGGCGCTGTAGTCGATTCAGAGGACGTTATAGTCAGTCTGGGTATGCTGTAGTCGACCTAGAGAGCTTTACTATCGACCAATTTTAACGTAATCACGTGTACTTGATGTGTAAATTGAATCATTCACTCATAAACAACGGGAACGGCGGCTAGAATGTTATTTTTCTTGCAGATTAATTATTGTAAGGACTGCATGATTCTGTGAGTGGACAGGAAGGTTACAGAATTGCATAATGGGTTCAGGGTCTGGGCCCCATTATTTAATTTACCTATCATGTGCACTCACTCAGTGGCGACAGGGGAAAGGTGTACACCTGGCAGGAGGTCAGGTGTACATACAAGGTATAATTGGTAAGCTTGGAATATATATGTGTGGCTAACATACTTGCTAGTCTGTAATTTTTAAATGAAACAGACATTTGTTTGAACATTAGATCATTGATATTACGTCGTGTATTATCTGGATTGGTTATGTCTTGTATATTTTTAAGCTTGGTAAGCCTTGTATACTTGTTAAACCTTTTATACTAGGTAAGCCTTGTATACTTGATAATACCTTGTATACTCGTGTACTCTCAGGTTTGTTAATATCTCGTATATTATTAGGCTTGTTAATGCATTGTATATTCGCAGGACTGGTTATGCCTGGCTTTACCACTTCAAGCTTGGTAAACCTCGCATTATTTCAGAATTGGTAATACATCGTATACCTTCAGGCTGGGTAATTTCCTCGCATACTTTCAAGCTTTAATATTACTCGCTAACTTTCAAGCTTGGTAAATTTCTTCGTATACTTTCAAGCTTTAATATTACTCGTTAACTTTCAAGCTTGGTAAATTTCCTCGCATACTTTCAAGCTTTAATATTACTCGTTAACTTTCAAGCTTGGTAAATTTCCTCGCATACTTTCAAGCTTTAATATTACTCGTTAACTTTCAAGCTTGGTAAATTTCCTCGCATACTTTCAAGCTTTAATATTACTCGTTAACTTTCAAGCTTGGTAAATTTCCTCGCATACTTTCAAGCTTTAATATTACTTGTTAACTTTCAAGCTTGGTAAATTTCTTCGTATACTTTCAAACTTTGTAAATCTGGCTTACTTTCAGGCTTGGAAGTAGTCTGTATTTTCTCAGGCTTTGAAAGGCTTGCTAGAGAGTAAGACGGCTTTAGAGACAGATATGAGTTGAATATTGTTGTTATAGAATAATATGTGCAATTTACAGGCTGCTCTGAGAAGCACATAAATTGCAGAAACGTTTATATGGGGGTCTATTAATCTTAAAAGGAATTATAGACAGCGTGGAGCAATTATCACAGTTCAAAAATGGCTATATGGATAATTATGGATTTTTAAGGTGTGGTTGTGTCGTATAGGTTAGGGGGGGGTGAGTGGGGTGGAGGTTATTCTCTGCTCTCTCTCTTTGAGAGACACAGAAGATCTCTCTGAGACCTTCTGTGTCTCGGCTTTTCCTTACCCACCATTCAATTTCCCCTTTCCTTCTGCCACTCCATCACCTGTTCGTTTCTTCTTTCCATTCTCTTTTTTCCCTTTAGCCACTCTACTTTCTCCCCTTTCTCTCACACCCCTTTGTTTTTCCTTCAAATGCCGTGTCTCTCGGTTCTCTCTCCCTCACTCCCCCTCCTGTTCTCACTCCATTTTCCTCTTTTCTGTCCTCTCTCTCTCACATTCTACCTCCCTCCCCTCTTCCCAGGACTCTCACGCCTCGAGTCCTTCATAAGAATTCAGGAGCCCGAACGCCCCGCCTGGGAATTATTAACCATCCTTCATAAATCCTTCTTCTTGCCTTAATCCTGAAGATTCGTGTGGTGTATATTGTCGCAGGTATGTATATATATATATATATATATATATATATATATATATATATATATATATATATATATATATATATATATATATATATATATATATATATATATATATATATATATATATATATATATATATATATATATATATATATATATATATATATATGACAATGTCAGACCACGGAGGAAAATGAAACAGGAATTTCCTTAAGTACTTTCGTATATTAAATATATCTTCAGAAGGAATCGTATTTAATATACGAAAGTACTTAAGGAAATTCCTGTTTCATTTTCCTCCGTGGTCTGACATTGTCACATTTTTAATCACGTGTTTATTTTCGTGATATACACACACACACATATATATATATATATATATATATATATATATATATATATATATATATATATATATATATATATATATATATATATATATATATATATATATATATACCATTCAACCCTGGCGGGCAGGGTTCCTGCCCGCCATCTGAGGAGCTGGAGGAACTCGACAACCTATGACAACCATCTTTGTAACCCATATGTAACTCCTTTTTTGTAACAAAGTTCAAATAAAGTAAATATATATGTGTACATACAAAAGAATGGGGGTGGTAGGAGAAGATAATATTGGTGGTCAGTGAGAGACCACAAGGTCTCCTCTGAATACTTTTTATTTTCTTCTCCGAGGCTATGGGTCCCCACATTGGCACCAGAGGTGGTACCTTTTCATTTTAAAAAAAAAAAAAAAAAAAAAAATATATATATATATATATATATATATATATATATATATATATATATATATATATATATATATATATATATATATATATATATATATATGTCGTACCTAATAGCCAGAACGCACTTCTCAGCCTACTATTCAAGGCCCGATTTGCCTAATAAGCCAAGTTTTCATGAATTAATGTTTTTTCGTCTACCTAACCTACCTAACCTAACCTAACCTAGCTTTTTTTGGCTACCTAACCTAACCTTACCTATAAATATAGGTTAGGTTAGGTTAGGTAGGGTTGGTTAGGTTCGGTCATATATCTACGTTAATTTTAACTCCAATAAAAAAAAATTGACCTCATACGTAGAGAAAAGGGTTGCTTTATCATTTCATAAGAAAAAAATTATAGTAAATATATTAATTCAGGAAAACTTGGCTTATTAGGCAAATCGGGCCTTGAATAGTAGGCTGAGAAGTGAGTTCTGGCTACTAGGTACGACATATATATATATATATATATATATATATATATATATATATATATATATATATATATATATATATATATATATATATATATATATATATATATATACACACACACAATATACACACCTGAAAGGGAAAGATTAATGATTCTAACACGAATCTTCTCAATATTTCTTATATTTTTTCTTCACTGTAGAGGGAAGTTGTAAAGTTACCTCTCCAAAGTTCATGTTCACAATTTATTATGGTCTGACGCCTTTGGGATGCGTTTCACAAGGTATTCCTTGCATTTTCAATGACAAATTGACCATGCTTTTGCAAAGGCTTATATTATCTTTGGGTGAGGTGGTACAGGACGTGATGGAGGTGAACAAGTGAATGAATGTCATAATATAATGGATATTAATAGGCTAATACATGCATTAGAAACACAAAAGAAGAAACACACAGAACATTAGAAACACAAAAGAAATGTTAAGTCTGCAGACACAAACAATGTTCTCTTCTGTCATGTTAGGGATTCTAATCATCCTGTTGATTGGTCTTCTAAAATAATCTTTCCTGCCTCTACTCTACACAGACGTCGTTTCATCGACGAGGCTCTGATACACAACCTTCCCAACATGAACCTGAGTCCTGGCTTTGTTGCTGTTGACTCTTCCCTTTCACAGTACATACTCAAATGTTCTAACCTTTCTATTCTAACAAACGTGACCTAACATAAGCCTACCAATCCTTTTTCTCTTTTTTCCTTTCTCCTCTTATTCTTACATTCCCATTCGTATACCCATTATTACCCCTTTATTACACCCTTTATTACACCCATCCCATTCGTACCTTTCGCTTTGCTCTTACCTTCCTCTAAGAATTTCCTCCTCTCACCTCTCTCTTGCCTTACTTATACCTTTGCCTACGTGCCAGGTAAGTCCACTAGGGGCTCACCATAGCCCGTGCTACTTGCAACTTTTGGTTCCCAGTAGCTGTAGTTCTTAGAACCATCGCCTGCATTGATGGCTTTGTTGATCTAATAGTATAAGCTTTCTGTGTGTCTATTTTTTTTCTCTCGGGATTAAGAAGAGCAATCAAGTTACTGAAATTCATGTTAATGAAACCCCTAATGATTATTGAAGGGTATATTTTGTACAACGTTTCGTTCCACTATAGAAACATCTTCAGGTAAGAAATATATATATATATATATATATATATATATATATATATATATATATATATATATATATATATATATATATATATATATATATATAAAATATGATAATTTTCCCTTGTAGTATCTCTCTTGCCTTTGGGAACAATAACTTTGCTTTCTTCTCTTAACTATTAAGATGAATGTTCCCAAGTTGGAAGAATGATTGACCTTCCTTCACCAACTTTTGGCTTCTGGGAAAAGAAGAGGAGAATATGAAGCACTGCCAAGTGCCTAGCGCCAGAGGTCGCGGGCGCCAGAGATAGCTGGCGCCAGAGGTCGCTGACGCCATAGGTCGCACGCGTCAGAGGTCGCTGGCGCCAGAGATAGCTGGCGCCATAGGTCGCGGGCGCCAGAGGTCGCGCGCGCCAGAGGTCGCACGCGCCAGAGGTCGCTGGCGCCAGAGATAGCTGGCGCCAGAGGTCGCTGGCGCCAGAGGTGGCTGGTGCCGAAGGTCGCTGGCGCCAGAGGTCGCTGGCGCCAGAGGTCGCTGGTGCCAGAGGTTGCTGGCGCCAGAGGTCACGGGCGCCAGAGGTCGCTGGCGCCAGAGGTCACGGGCGCCAGAGGTCGCGGGCGCCAGAGGTCGCTGATGTGAAAGGTCGCTGGCGCTAGAGTTCGCGGGCGGTAGAGGTCGCGGGCGCCAGAGGTCGCGGGCGCCTGAGGTCGCGTGCGCCAGAGGTCGCGGGCGCCAGAGGTCGCGGGCGCCAGAGGTCGCGGGCGCCAGAGGTCGCGGGCGCCAGAGGTCGCGGGCGCCAGAGGTCGCTGGCGCCAGAGGTCGCTGGTGCCAGAGGTCGCGGGCGCCAGAGGTCGCTGGCATCATAGGTAGCTTGTTGAATCCTGGTCCTGTCTATAGTGAATTCCTCTTATACGATTATATTGTAAACATTGTCTCTGCCGTAGTGTTGACAGACACAATATTTACACCAATTGTCTCAAGAGACACCTGTTGAGACACACAGGTGTTGACCTCTGTTGTCGCTACTGGTATTGACCTTTGTTGTCGCTACTGGTATTGACCTCTGTTGTCGCTACTGGTATTGACCTCTGTTGTCGCTACTGGTATTGACCTCTGTTGTCGCTACTGGTATTGACCTCTGTTGTCGCTACTGGTATTGACCTTTGTTGTCGCTACTGGTATTGACCTCTGTTGAGTATTCACACTATATCAGGAATAGATTTACCATTTAGAGTTGACTTTTACCGTGATGTCCAGCAGGTGTTGACGATCCGACACCTGCTCGGGGGGGGAGGGTTTTGCAGGTATTTCCCACCAATCTAGAATATGTTGCTTTGATCTTTTCACCATGAACAATATGCGTGGCATCTAGAACAACGTAACCTATGCATCTGTGTTCTTCCTTATAGGTATCGTTGACCAGTTATCAAGAACAACGTAACCTTTGCATCTGTGTTCTCTCCCACAGAACGAACACTGCAGCTTGTCGACACATTTCTGAGCATCTGTGTTTCCTTGTACAGGTGTCGTGGATCCGGCACCGAGACTTGCATATCCTGTCGGTGGGTTCTGTGACCTACACGAGCGACTCGAGGTTCGAAGCAGTGCCCCAGACGGGTAAAGGGGATTGGATGCTGCGACTCCAGTACGCCAACACGCGGGATTCCGGCCAATATGACTGTCAGGTCTCCTCCACGCCGCCCACTGCACGCACTGTTCATCTCACAGTGGTCGGTGAGTCCCGCCCACGCCGCCCACACCTTAATGTGGGTGGTAAGTCCCACGCACCGAAGTGTAGATAAGTGTGTGTGCGGAATGCTAAGAGGATTCTATGATCGAGACGATAGAAAAAGCTTAGA